TGCATGTAGCAATGTGGAATGCAGGGCCATCAAATCATGTTCCCCAAAACGATGATAGTGATGACTCGGACGATGAATATGAGATTACGGCAGTAGCAGTTGTTTTGTGGTATTACTACACATATATGGAAAGACCACTACCTCAACGGCAGTAGCAGTTGTTTTGTGGTATTACTACACATATATGGAAAGATCACTACCTCAACCAAAGCATACTTTCACACTCATAGGTGCAATGCGTGTCCAATACTTACTTGATGGACATGAGGACATTATTAGGTCAAAAATTAGAATGGGCAGTGATTATTTTAAGCGTCTTAGTTTGTTGCTTGAGCTTAAAGGGCTTTTAAGACCGACTAGGAATATGAATGTGGACGAGCAACTTTTTATTTTCCTCTACATTGTTTGTCAAAGTTCAAATAACAGGGAGTCACAAGATCAATGGCAGCATTCAGGTGCTACCATTTTAAAGTATTTCCACGCAGTTTTGACGGCGTTATATGAGCTATGTTTTGACTTCCTCAAACCACCAAACTTTAACATAATCAATCCCGTCATAGCCGCACATGGAAACAAGTACCTGCCATGGTTTCAAGTTTAGTGCCTCAACTTACTATTCTATTTGCCGTTTATATGCCGAGGTGTTGTTGCTTATGTTACTTAGTTACTATGTAGAATTGTGTTAGCGCTCTTGATGGTACTCACGTACCATGTGTTCCACCACCTTCAAGTGCTGAAGCATGGAGAAATAGGAAGGGGTTCTACTCTCAAAATGTGTTAGGGGTCTGCTCGTTCGACATGAGGTTTACCTACATGTTGGCTGGATGGGAGGGCTCTGCCCATGATGCACGTGTGCTTGCATCCGCAATGGATACATCGAAAAAAAAACTTCCCGACTCCACCAGAAGGTATGTTTACGCTTGGTCTTTACTTAGTTTTTCATTACTACACGTTTGTGCTTACATGTGGAACTAATATATTCATGTAATGTCTTCTAACTCACACCGCAGGTAAATATTACCTCGTCGACTCTGGGTATGCAAACAATGATTGTTTCTTGGTGCCGTACCGGGGGAGCACTTACCACCTTCAAGAGTTTCGGGGCAAGGCGTGGTCGGCCCCAAACTGAGCGTGAGTTGTTCAATTACACCCATTCTTCCTTAAGGAATTGTATTGAGCGCACATTCGGCATGTGGAAAGCCAGGTTCCGTATTCTTAAGTGCATTAATAACTACCCGATAGATACACAAATAACCATTCCACTTGTTTGTGATATTCTACACAATTTCATACATATGTACAACCACAATGATGATCTACTCACTCAGTACATGAGGGATGCCATTCCGGTTGTAGAAATTGATCCACTCAACGCAGATCAAGATGTGAATCAGAATCACAATCCGGATTAAGGAACCCAACAACATCATAACCGTCCGCAACGATGACAAATGAATATATTGAGGGACGAAGTAACCAGTATTATGTGGGCTGCATTCGAAAATAATCGCCATCGATAGATTATTACAATGGGTTTCTTTATAATGGGTTTGTTGCCTTTATAATGGATAGATTATAAAGTGTTTGTATTTATATATGTATATATGTCTATATATATATATTTATGAAGAACAAATGATTTTGTGTTAATTGGGTGAATGTTCACGTTGAGAACACAAGTGCATGCCAATGTTAGGTTGTAATTGGAGTTTGACCTTTGTGCAAGTAAACACAATACTTAAGTTTCAAATGTTAAATCAGTCCACACCTAAACACTAAACTCCAAATTTTAAATTAAACTCAAATTTTTTACAACTCAAATCTTATTTTTTTAACTCAAATCATAAATTTGAGTTCATGAAGTGAACGAGCCCTTAAGAGTGTGACTTGAGTGTAGTTTTTGAGTTGAATTTGAGTTATAACTTGAGTTGAAGTTGTAACTTGAGTTTGTGTTTAGTTGTGTACATTTGAGTTATGGTTTGAGATAAGAATCTTTTTTTAAGTTTGTGTTTGAGTGAGTCAAAACTTAAATTTGTATTTAGATAGTATTTTAATAAAAACTCAATGGTGATGAAAAATTTTAATAGGGTATATGGGTGGAGTTTTATTCGTCTTTTCGTTGTCAACGCATAGAAAAAAAATCATCTTAATCAGGATTAAAATGAAAAAGTTATAGAATTTTTAAGAATAGAAAAAATATTGTTCAGTAATTTGAGCTCGAGTTTCTGAACTCGAGTTGAAGGGGACACTTGAACTCGAGTTTTAGTCACAAACTTGAGTTCAAACTTAAAAGAACATGAACTTGAATAAAATTGGAACTCAAGTTACTTTTTTTTTTTAATTTCTTGGGCAGCCGAACACACCCTAAATTTGTACAGAAAGTCCAAGCCTATTTTCCTTTCTTTTTTTTCCTTTTTCTTTCTACTTTCTCCTTCTCCCCTCTCTCCCTCCCACGTACACACACACACTCTCTCTCAACGCCGGCCACCTACCACCAATGAGATTTCGGTGTCGTTTTGCGACACCGTCCACACCATCAGAAAGCTCTCGATGAGCTGGACTCGTTGACATGCTGCACAACCTCCATCTCCGCGGAAAACAGCCGCAATCACCGGTGAAATGTCTGAAAACTACCGAAACTTCTCGCCATCATAACTTTGTCGTCCGACCTCCGATCGAAGTGATTCCGGCCGCCGTTTTTGACACCGCCAATATCAATGGACTTAGAGAAGAACGCTGAGCAAAACCCCTATAACAATTTCACGGTCCCGCCGCCGTTTACCGGAAAACGGAGCCGCCACCGCCGTCTGCGGAGATAAGGGGTGGTTATGATGATCCAACCGTTGGATCATCGCGATTTTGGTGTCTAAATGCGCAGAAGATCACGGGTAATGAAAGCCCTCAACCAATTTTGAGATTCGACAGTCAGAGAATTAAAATCAAAGTCACCAGATTTTACCGACATTTTTGGGTTTGATCAGAGTAGATAGAGGCTGAATTGGGTAAAATTTACAGCACCATTGAACTCAGAATGGTTGATTTAAGGGGGGTAAGACCTAAGTCCGTCACAAAAATATGCTCCGGCAACCTCCACCGTCGCTGCCGCCAGTTGCCGGATTCCGGCGTATCTCAGTTCTTGAGGTTCCTGATGTTCGATTGTAGATCTGAGACCATATCCTGGTTTATTTTGACGTGCTGAACGCAACGGTGACCTCCGTTTGTGCCAATTTGACCCCGTTGAAAAGTCTATCGAACTGTGCACGCAGATCGAGGTGAACCGAGTTGAGGTTTAGAGCGAGCCGTGAAGCTTCAAGAATAGACGGTTGGACAACGTGAAGTTATCTGTAAATTAAATTGTCAAGATGTAGGATATTTTGTCCATATCTTTGTTAGCCTTACTTTAAATGGTTTTGGCCAATGAAAATGTTTTAGAACAAATCATGTTTAAAGAAAAATGCTTTTAAAGAAAATAACATGAATAATGCTATTAAATTTTTCAATGATTTTGAAAATGAGATTTTAAAGAGTATCATTTCTTAAAATGAAATATTTTAAGAAATGGTGGTCTCAGAGATCGGGATATGAGAATCGTATCCTTTGGGACAGTCCTCGAAACCCGTACGGTCTACTTCTTGCTCAGTGGTGTTATGGCTCTGCATATTTTCATTATATAGATATTTTACTACTACTACTACATGAGTATTTCCTTTTCTTAAAAAGGATGATCGGTTCCTGGTGTATGTCTTCGGACTATGAGTACTTTTATTTATAATGTTTTATAAAATCATATTTTACTGGGTCTTCAGTTCATTTTTTTTCTTGTTTCAAATGTTTTAAATCCCTCTCTAGAGTTAGCGGTTTAGATTTACAGCATGGTGAGTTGATGCTAATGGATTGAAGGCGCGAGATTCAAAATGGTTAGTTTGTATCGAATTTATAGTTTTAATTCTGAGATGTACTGTATTTCTGTATATAAATTGTATTGGTCGATATTGTCCCAGAGTTGTACTATTTTTCTTGGACTTTATAGACTGTTTTAAATATTATTTGTAAAATAAAGTCTCCGGAGTAAACTATATTGATATTTATGTATTTATTTTTATAATTTTTGCTAAACAACTCAATTTCATTAAATTAAATTTTAAATTAAATCTCAATAATTACGGTCTCATCTTTAAAGTCGTGACACCAATTATCGCCGATTGTTGAAATTTTTAGTATCACATCAGAATATCTCACTCTACGTATCATGGTAGGATATTGATGGCTATCGGTTGTCGCTGGAATTTTTAATACCAAAGTGTGCTGATTCTAAGTGTAATAGAAGGACACGGGCAATCCTCAATGTACCAAGTTTTTATCATCGCAGTTGGACGCCTAAAAGTATCATGATAGGATATCATGAATCAGTAATGGCTAATTTTGGTATCTTAGTATGACACTATTAAGGATATATTTGGAATTTTTGGTATGGTAGTAGGTGTCTGTGTAAGATCATTTTTCTTTAATATTGCGGTATTTCTCTCAAGTGCATTTCTCTTGAGTGCTCGTTCTAGTCTTGTTTTTACATCTCTTCAACTTTTCTCTATTTAGCCACCACATACGTCACCATGTCGCTCAAAAAAAGGGTTATGTTATTTTCGTAATGTAATTTTCAATGAAATAGAATCTTCTTCCTTTTTTTTTTCTTTTTTTAAATTATGATTGTGTGAATTAAAAAATAATAATAATAAGTCCACCATATTGTTAAAACCAACATGGTGGACTTTGTTTCACATGATTATGATGTGAACATCAATTTATGCACGTATATTAATCCTTCCTACCATTACAACAACAAATGTGCACAAATGATTTGTTACCCTTTTATCTATAGATGAGCAAGGAATGCCTATTTTCCAACTCCTTTTCCTAAAGGAATTAGGAGTTCTCGTTTCATTGAACGACAAAAGAGAACCTAAAAAAAATTAAAAAAACAAAAACAAAAATAAAAGTAGTCCCTATATTTTGGGTTGGTCCCAGTCTATGGATGTATCATCAAAGGCATCTTCTAAACGCCGAAGCCTGCTCTGCTGAGACAGCCTGCTCATCACTGCAAGACCTGAAAAAAAAAAAAAAAAAAAAAAAAAACCCAATATTTGATGAGAATTTGGATTAAAAAAGCATACAAGTTTCTATGACAGGAACAAGCTTGAACAAATTGATTTTGGACACCAAATTGAACAAGCTTTCTATACAACTCTTCAAGATGTGAATAATAAAGATGTGCTTAAACATCTAGGAAGACAATGGGCAAATTATTGGTTATGAAAGTCTCTTAATATGTCTAATCTTTCATAGGAAAATCCTTTATGTCCAAATGAAAACATGAAGGCCTGAAACTTGGAAAGTAATTACCAAGTCAGCATTTGTGGATCCTTTTGCTTTTCTTTGTTATTTATTTATTTTTTATTTGGTGTTTAATCCATGGAATGCACTACACGTGCATAGTGATTAAAGATGTACCTTCAACTATTCTGTAGAGAGATGACCACCGCCTATCTCTTGGAACCTGAAAATAATTTAGTGTTTCATCTATATCCTGGTCATGTTTTCCCTCCAGAACTCCTTGCAGCGTTAGGATCGCATCCTTTGTTTTCGTCAAGATATTGTTCTTGTCGTTAATATCTGATCGTTGAAGTTCATTCTGTGAAGCGGCAAGGGAAACAGCCAGTGCATACTGATCAGCATCGCTCCAGCGGGATGATGCTAGCCATCTCCTCTGGCCAACCAGTTGCATGGTGCCTTCACCATCTGTTTTGTTTTGTTTGTCCACCAGCACCAAGCCGCGCAAGTACTCAGCATTTGCAGGCCCCGTACTTTGAACCATTCTAGAGAACGCACTTTCTTCATTCAACAAGAGTTCTTCCGGTGTATCATATTCTAAAACCTGAAAAGGTAAGGTTGAGAATCCTCAATCCACATTTGATTCACTTGGAACCAAACGAAGAGTTACAAACTTGACTTGCCTTGCAAGAAAGTGATGAATGTTGAGGAATTAGAAAGGCATTATGGGCATACCTGACCAGCATCAAGAACAAGAATCCGATCACTGTCATTGATGGTGTTCAATCTGTGAGCAATAATTAACATCGTGCATGATTTGAATTCATCACGAATAGTTTTTTGGATAAGAACATCGGTTGCAACATCAACGGCCGATGTTGCTTCGTCAAGAACAAGTATCATGATGGTGTTCAATCTGTGAGCAATAATTAACATCGTGCATGATTTGAATTCATCACGAATAGTTTTTTGGATAAGAGCATCGGTTGCAACATCAACGGCCGATGTTGCTTCGTCAAGAACAAGTATCTTTGATCTCCGTAGCAATGCTCTTGCAAGACTTATTAGTTGCCTTTGTCCAACACTGAAATTCTCTCCTCCCTCAAGAACCTTGACACGTAGAGACAATTTAAATTTGTTTTTAGCAAATTTTCATCTTTCCCATCTTTATTGTGAGGTAGTTTAACAAAAGAAATTCAGTTCAGTTTCTCTTATCACTTCCATAAATTTCAAGCTAATAACTACATTCAGAAACTTCTGTGGGCTCCTTATTTATCCATGTACAACACATTTCAAATTGATCGAATGACGAGTCTAAAGTGACACGGTTTTTCTTTCAAGTATTTGCCTAATAAAAAATAGTGAGAAAATTTCCAACAAGGAATTCCAGCGATGTTAGATATTTAGTCAATGTATTCGTAAAAAGCAGCGAATCAAAACATCCTCACAAAACTCAATTATGACAGCTCAAGGGTGTACCTCTGCATCCAGACCAAGAGGGTTTCTTCTAATAACATCTTTAAGATGTGCTCTCTCTAATGCCTCCCAAAGATCAGGATCATTATGCTCAGAAAAAGGATCGAGATTAAAGCGTACAGTTCCTACATAAAAAAGAGTACTGTATATTTAGAAAGAAATGGCATGCTAATCAGTTCATGCAAGCAATGTTCTCAGTTTTAGAATTTAGCTTACTTAATCGGTTATATGGATGCTTTTTTATTTTTTTTTATTTTTTATTTTTTTTGTACAAGAATTTATATGCATGTATGTATGTTGTAATAGTGCTTTTAGATGGCTTAAATTTGTTATTTGCTACACAAATTATGTACAACTATGTGTATCTGCATGTAGGGATCTGCACACATTCAACCATATATATATATTTCAGGTAATGAAAGTGAGAATACTCAGATATGCAAGTTAAACTGATCAACATTTCTATCAAAAATAAGTTAAAACTTATCGAAATCTCTTTTCAAATGGCATACCTGAAAAAAGGACAGGTGATTGCGGTATGATACTAAGGACTTTTCTCAAATCTGTCAATCCAAATTTGGAAACATTGCAACCATCAATCAATATTCTTCCTTTCTCCATTTCAATGATTCGAAACAATGCATTAAGCATGCTAGATTTTCCTGCACCAGTCCTTCCAACTATTCCAATCTTTTCACTTGGAGAGATTTCGAAGGACAATCCATGCAGAACTGGAGGAAGTCCAGGCCTGTAACGCAGGACGACACCCTCAAATTGAATAGTTCCAGACGCAGGCCACCCTGGTGGGGGACGGTTGTTCTCAATTATTTCTGGAGCCTCAGAAAGCAAATCAATATATGTGCCAACTCGCTCAACAGAATTTAAACTATTTTCGGCCCTACTTGCTTGTCTAAGTACACCACTCATCAAATTTGTGATGTTTAGTGTATAACATAGGAGTAGACCCATTGTGGACGCGAATTCCACTTGGGTGTCTGCTCTTCCATTCTGCAAAACAGCAAAGCTTGCTGTTAACCAAATCATGAGACCTCCTAATGTTTCCAATCTTATTGAGAGCCACCGGTTCGAACTAAGGTTTGCAAGGGTGAATCTGATATTATTGTCCATGGACTTCCCATTTATGGAAGCCATCCGATCATATGCCTTGTATGCGCGAATGCTTGACAAACCATTTAGTGCTTCTCCAAATTGTGCATAAACTGGAGATCTTGTAATGAAATCCATACGCTTTACTTCACGGGCTGTGCTCTATATGCATATGCATCATGATAGTCAATAGAAATTTTTATGGTATAAAATCAAATACACACACATGCTTTTACAGTAGAAGCGTTCCTTTCATCTTTTGATTTACTTACTTTAACATCATCAATTTGTTTCATAACATTTTGAAATTTTAGGTTTGGTGTCCTCAGCACCTTTCAGTGAGGAAAATTTCAATAGTGTCTAAATTGGGATAAAAAGTGAGAATGGAAAATGATAAACAATATCAAAATTACCTGATAGTGCAAATAGGCTACATAGAACAAGATCATAAGTGGCATGATGGCCCAGAGGGATATTGTGCTCACAATTCCTATGAGCACAAAAGTTGAAAGGAGCTGCCACATCTGGTTCAAAAACATATTCATAAGATTCGCAACATTCCGATCTATATCACTGACATCCTTCGCAAATCTATTGATTATCCGTCCGGTTGGATTTGTGTGGAAGAAAACCATTGGAGCTCTTAGTAAAGAGCGCAACATTGTGTCATATAATCTTTTGGCCGCACGAAGACTAGATGTGATTAACCAAAAAGAGTTTGCCAGTGTCACAGTGACCTGAAACAAACATAAGAAACACCAGCTTTCAAACCATGTGATAATTGCATATTATAATGAATAACTATGTTTCTACTATTATAGCATGCGTACATTTTGGAAACATGTGTCAATCTCACGTTTACTTACCCACATTGATTCTGAAATGGGGCGAGATAGCGTGAGCCCCACCATAAATTTGAAAATTAAGGAAGGCCCTTACCAGATTGGGACTCCAATCTTCATAGTAATATTAAACTACTATTTCACCCTTGATTTATTTGCAAGTTTTGGACAAAAATTTTCTACTCGTGAGTAGGTAACTGTTGTACAACAGTTGTGGAGATTCTGTATAATTTTGATTTCCAGAGTATACTTGAAAATCTATCAAGACGTGAATCTACTTAGGAATAGATAAACTTCAAATAAATCACTGAAAGTCTAATTACAAAAAGTAACGATATGCTTTTTAGAGAGAGTTGAAACTTGTAGAAGTAAGAATGATCGGGATTATATGTTACAATGATAGACACACCTGGCCAAATGAAAGAAGCGCATATACGACAATGTAGAATGTAGGTTTATAATTTTTTGAACTGCTTTGTTCTGTCCAAAAACTTAACTATGTGCTACTTGAAACTCGAAGAACTTCTGTTAGTAAATAGAAACTAAACAGAATCATGACCACCGATAGGCCTCCTAGTGCATTTTTGTACCTGCAAACAGAACCAATGCCTGAATTCCCAAGATATCATATTTAGGCAAATTGACAATTCCATGACGAAAGATATAGCTTCTTTCTTTTGATACTTCTATCAAATAAGGCTAAAAAAAATGTAATAAGCAATTTTATTAAGCCATTATGACATTTGAAACTAACTTAGAAGTTAACATTGCATTCTTTAAAAAAAAAGGTAACAATTTTATGTTTAAGGACGGAGAGACTAATAGGTGAATAGATCATAGACCAGAGGGTATGCCACAGAATTTACAATAGATGTAAATAACATGTAAGTCCACCAAAATCGAAAATGAAAACTAAAGTAATGTTATTCCTTGTTACCTCAACAAGACATTCCAACTAACAACACCCGTTTCCCGTTCCTCTTGCTTGATTAGAACAGACTTCCCCAGTTTTCCTTTTTTTGAATTGGTTGCATCTGCGAGTGATTCATTTACCACCCCGTTAGAAGCTGGCGTTGACCTTTTTTCAGTGCAATTTTCGGTTTCAATCAACTCTTCTACATCTTCTTCCATTTTCCCTGCATTTTCCATCAGTTTCTGGAACAACTTTCCATTCTTAGCCAGCTCCTCATAGGTTCCCTCCTCTTGAACCATACCATCACAGACTACAACAACACTGTCCACTTGTGGAAGAAAATGTAGCTGGTTTGTGACTAGTAACCTGGTTTTCCCTTGTAACTCTTGCTTGATACAATTGTTAAAAACCTGGAGAAAAAGTTGGATTACATAATTAAAAGTGAATTTGGAGGAAGAATGACTTTTCTTCAATATATTTTAGAGGGTGATACAACACATATATATACAAGAGTATGTTCTACAGGAAAGGGAAACTAGCCTACGAAAAAGGAAACTAGAAACTAACATCCCTAAAAATCTACTATACATCATAATCTTGTTAACTTCCCAAAGTAATCGGGAAATATAACAAGTCAATCATTCCAAATATGGAATGATTGATATTCGGTAATAACCAAATATTCCTACACTCCCCCTCAAGCTAGAATGTAAATATTTGTCATTCCAAGCTTGTTCACCAGGTCTTCAAAGTTCGGTTTGTGAAGACTTTTTGTCAAGATATCAGCAGTCTGTTCCTTGGTTGGGATGTACGTCATGCAGAAGCTCACATTGTCAATTTTTTCCTTGATAAAATGACGATCCACCTCTACATGTTTCATTCGATCGTGATGAACTGGATTGTGGGCAATGCTGACAGCTGCCTTGTTGTCACAATAGAGCTTTATAGGAGAATTACTAAAGATCTTTAGTTCTTTTAGTAGTCTTCTAAGCCAAATCCCCTCACATACACCGTGTGCTAGTGCCCAAAATTCTGCCTCTGCACTGCTCCTTGCTACCACTGGTTGTTTTTTGCTTCTCCATGTCACTAAATTGCCCCAAACATAAGTGCAATATCCTGATAATCTTCTGTCTACTGAAGAGCCTGCCTAGTCAGCATCCGTATAAACTTCTACAGCCTTGTGATCTCCCTCTTTGAAGACCAATCCCCTTCCAGGAGTATTTTTCAAATACCTCAGAATCCTAAAGACTACTTCGAGGTGTCTTTCTTTGGGTGAGTGCATAAATTGACTAACAACACTTACCGCAAAGGCTATATCAGGACGGGTATGTGACAGGTAGATGAGCTTGCCTACTAGTCGATGATACTGCTCCTGATCAATCTCCTTCCCGCCTTCAAGTCCCAGCTTGGCATTAGGCTCCATAGGTGTCTCAGCTGGTTTGCATCCCAACATGTCTGTCTCTTGAAGAAGGTCAAGTACATACTTTCTTTAAGAAACAACAATTCTAGAACTGCTCATGGCAACTTCCATACCCAAGAAATACTTGAGGGCACCTGGATCCTTTAATTCAAATTTACTAGAGAGATACCCTTTTAATGATTCTAACTCAGTTTGGTCGTCTCCAGTAATAATTATATCATCTACATACACTATAAGGATTGCTTTTTTACCATCCTTAGAGTGTTTGTAGAAGATAGTGTGATCAGATTGTGCTTGTGTAAAGCCCCATTCCTTCACAGCTTGAGTAAATTTCTCAAACCACTCCCTCGGAGACTGCTTCAAGCCATACAGTGATTTTCTCAGCTTACACACTAAGTTCCCTTTCTTCTCAAACCCTGGCGGAGGATCCATATACACTTCTTCATGCAAATCCCCATTTAAAAATGCATTTTTTACATCCAGTTGCTGGCCAATCAAGGTTAGCAGCCAGAGATAAGAGTACCCTTACGGAGTTGAGTTTGGCAACGGGGGCAAATGTTTCCTTGTAGTCTATACCATAAGCTTGAGTGAAGCCTTTGGCAACCAACCTTGCTTTGTAACGGTTGACACTCCCATCTGCATTAAACTTGACTGTAAACACCCATTTGCATCCCACAGTTTTTTTCTTGCTAGGCAACTCCACAATCTCCCACGTACCGTTTTTTTCCAAGGCTCCCATTTCTTCTTGAACTGCTAATCTCCACTTCGGGTCTGTAAGAGCCTCCTTAATATCTTTTTGTATCTTAACATTTGTCGGAGCAGTAGTGAAGGCTGAAAAATTGGGAGACAATTTCTCATATGAGATAAATTTTGAAATTGGATGCTGTGTGCATGATCTTGTACCTTTCCTGAGAGCAATAGGCTGATCCAGATCTTTGTCGTTACTCAATTCTACATCAACAGGACTACTAGTAGGCTCGGAACTTGGGAGAGTGACCGGTTCATACGTCTGACCTTGTTAGGCATCAGGCTTGCTACTACCTTGAGAACGAATCCTGCGTGAATAAACAAGCAACTGGGGGTTTTGGGAGTTATGAGAGTTATCTCCCACTGAGTTATTTCTCCCTGTTTCCAATATTTTTCCTTGGTCAAGTTGCGGCATAATATGCTCGGTTAGACTAGGTAAAGTAGGCGGTGGTAAGGGCATGGGTGTTTGAAGATCAAATTCTTCCCAAGATCCATCTTCTTCTAGAATCTCCCCCTGAAGATGGGACACAGGGAAATACGGTTGAGTTTCATGAAAGGTAACATCCATTGACACATACATACGACGAAGAGAAGGTGAGTAGCATTTATACCCACGCTGTGTGGATGAGTACCCAATGAAAACTCACTTGGTTGCTTTTGGGTCAAGTTTTGAACGATCTCGAGAGTGAACATGAACAAATGGAATGCAACCGAAGATTTTAAGGGGAACAAAGGAGAAAGATCGAAACATCGGGTAGGTTTGTAAAAGAACAGACATAGGGATTTGAAATTGGAGGATTTTTGATGGCATACAATTTATAAGATGAGAGGCTGTTAAGATGGCTTCTCCCCAGAGATATTTTGGAACATGCATTGTGAACATTAGGGCTCTAGCAACTTCAATTAGATGACGATTTTTTCTTTCCCCACGTGTTGGGCTTTCCAGTTTCTATCAAAAGATCAGTCACATACTTCCGTTGGGATAGAAAGATGCATTGTCTAGAGTATGCCATCTCAATCCCTAGGAAATATTTCAATTTCCCAAGTTCCTTTATCTCGAATTATTGAATCAATCTTCTCTTCAAGTCACCTTTCTCCTTCTCATCATTCCCGGTCACGATAATATCATCAACATACACAAGTAAGGCAGTCACTCCCCCTGAGGCCGAATGCTTGAAGAACAACGTGTGATCACCTTGACTTTGCCTATAACCTGAATCTGTCATTACCTTAGCAAATCTGCCAAACCATGCTCTAGGGGACTGTTATAGCCCATATAGAGCCTTTTTAAGCTTGTAGACTTTGTCACTGGTTTTATTCCCCTCAAACCCTGGCGGGATGCTCATATATATCTCCCCATCCAAGTCTCCATGGAGAAAGGTATTTTTCACATCATATTGTAGCAATGGCCAGTCAAAGTGGGCTGCTAATGACACTAAAGTCCTCATAGTATTCATTTTTGCCACCGAAGCGAATGTCTCCTGATAATCTACCCCATAAGTCTGAGTGTACCCTTTCGTAACTAACCTTGCTTCATATCTCTCAAGAGTTCCATCAGCCTTATACTTCAATGCAAATACCCACTTGCAATCAACTATGTTCTTTCCTTGTGGTCTCTCAACTCTCTCCCATGTTTGATTCTTTTCCAGAGCCTCTAATTCCTCTCTCATAGCATTCCTCCACTCATCCTCCAATAATGCCTCTGAAAGTGTGTTGGGTGTGGAGATTGTGTTTAGGCTAGCCATAAACCTCTGGTGGGAAGATGATAGGTGTTTAGGTGAGACATAATGGGAAAGAGGGTAAAGTGGCCTCTTGGAGCATTCTCGGGATTTTTTCCTGATGGCAATGGGCAAATGAGAGTCATCTGCCAAACCTTCAACTGTTTTAGTGTCTAGGAGTGAATCTGTACTCACCATGCCTTTATTCTCAGGACTCGGGTTGATCTCTTGGACTTGTGTCAGGTTTGGGGCTTTTGCCCTTCTCGTATACACCTGAGAAAATCTTGGATGAACCTCAGTAACTTGACTGGACACAGGCTCTTAGGGTTGACAAGTAGGATCGGTTTCTGTGTTGAAAGACTCGGCGGTTTCTGTGTTGGAAGACTCGGCAGTTTCAGTGTTGGAAGACTCGGGCTCTTGGGAAGGACTTGATGGAATGACTGGAGTGATGGCTAAAGGGGAATGAGAGGTAGATGGAAGATCAAGTGGCTCAAAAAACTCAAATGACTTAGACCAAGTACCATCTTCACGGTTAGTTGTCTCCCCCGGAAGATGGGACTTAGAAAAATAAGATTTGTTTTCAAAGAAGGTAACATCAGCTGAGATATATAATTTTCTTGATGGAGGATGATAGCATTTGTACCCCTTTTGTGTGGATGAATAGACAACAAAAATACATTTGGTTGCACGGGGGTCTAACTTCCCTCTGTTTGGGCGGTGGACATGTACGAAGGCTGTACATCTAAATATCCTGGGTATATGGCCATTTGAGGTTCTAAAGTGAGGGTAGTGGGTATTAAGAATTGCCATAGGACTCTTGTTGTCAAGTACACGGGAAGGTAATCTATTTATCATGTGTGTGGCTGTTAAGACGGCTTCCCCCCAGTAGGATTTAGGCATGTTCCCATGAAACAACAAGGCTCTAGTGACATTTAATAGGTGCCCATTTTTCCTCTCAACTATCCCATTCTGTTGGGGTGTATCCACACAAGAAGAAGTGTGAATAATTCCTTCCTTTTAAAAATAGGGTGATAAAACCTGGTTGAAATAATCCCTAGCATGGTTTGACCTAAAGGTTTTTATTTTCACCCCAAATTGGTTTTGGATCATGGAGTGAAAGCTGGGAATAATATGACTGACATCAGATTTTTGTTTAAGTAAAAACAGCCAGGTTACACGTGTGCAATCATCAATTAATGAGACAAACCAACGAGTCCCTGATACATTAGGAATAGTAGATGGACCCCAAATATCACTATGGATCAATTGAAAAGGAAAAACGCTTCTTTTATTACTGATAGAAAAAGGAACACGCGTATGTTTTGCTAGTTCACAAACATCGCAATGAAACTCAGAAACATCTATTCCTATGAACAATTGTGGAATCCTCTCGTTTGGTCGGTTTTCTATTCTATTATTGTGCTTTCAATTATTGCTGAGATGCAGGTGTAGGAAAAGATAAAGTAACGTTTTTTTTTTTTTTTTTTTTTTGGCTAAGGAAAAGACAAAAGTTTCTAGACATAAATGGAGAAATGAATGGTCAAGATTTATTTCATATGGAGCTTGTTTCATTTACAATTAGAGGAGCATTCTAAATGCCAAATTAGTGGGAAATGATAAATTTTAGTATTTGAGAAGTGAAATTATTGGCTAATTACTTTTTTGGACTAATTTTGATATAAGCTTTATTTGGTGCAAAATTTGGCAAAAACAGAACATATGCTGAATTTTGATGTATGATTGCTTTTAATTGATATTATATATATGTATATAATATATATAATATTATATATGTACATTCTTTTATTGATATACTGACATGTTAGTTTAATCACTATAACATTATCATTTTTGAATTATATAAAGTTAAAAGTGTATTTGACAAATTTCAAAACTTAAGTTATAACAATATATCCCATTTGAAATAGCATTTTTAAGAATTAGAACACAAAATAAAATATCGTAAATATGTTATTTTCACACTTTTTAATGAGGTATTGGCATAGACATTTGTGTTGGCACTTTGGAATGGTTTGTTTAGCAAGGACAATAAGTTAAGCGGGAAAAATAGTTTTGTAGACTAAGACATAAAGTCCAAGGCTCATCTTGATAGTTCCTTACGCTGCTAAACATTTTCTAAGCATCCCAAAAAAAAAAAAAAAAACCAACGACCAGAGAAATAGTAGTGAGAATCACATGAAATCAGGAATAACACGACAAGAACATAAGAATCAGTAGCATCTATCACAACTCAGTATTCTTACACGACAAGAACATAAGAATCAGTAGCATCTATCACAACTCGGCATTCTTACACGACAAGAACATAAGAATCAGTAGCATCTATCACAACTCAGTATTCTTACACGACAAGAACATAAGAATCAGTAGCATCTATCACAACTCGGCATCCTTATATGCGTAACAGAATA